AAAATTTGATAATCAAATATAATATTAATTATTCTCTTTCATGGAAAATATTGCGAAAAATATCACTACAACCAAAGCTTGGAGCCTCTCGATTATCTGTGCTGGATGGCTTTATCAATTTGACTACTGAAAAGTGATGTGATGGATATTTATCGCAATAACCAGATTTTCAATTTTTTAATTAATCCTGTTCTGTTATCAGCGATAATAATATGATACTTTTATAAGAAACAAGTTCTCAAATTAATTTCTCATGTCGCATGTTATTAAATATTTTTAACATTGCATGTAATTGTGATAATTCAAGCATGGAGTATTCGTATTATCGAAAAAAATTAATATTTAATAGATAATATGTACTAAATAATTTTTCGTTTTGTTTTATGTTACTATGCTTACCGTCGCATGATGTCATAATACATAGGTCTAAAACGTCGAAATGAGAGACCAAATAGGCAAGAACACTCAAAGTCCGTCATGATGAAACAATTGAATGATGATCTTCCTTTACGAGTGTCAACCAAAGCCTTTAAATTTGGTGGTTGAATCAATGCCACGAAAGTCCGCGGCAAGTTGTCTCTTAGTGTCCGCAAAACTTGAAGTAAGTCGGCCTTGTGTTTTTCGAGAATCGACCAAGGTGACGAAACCCAACATATTTCAGTGCAGAAATCATTGGCTCCGATCATTATCGAGATGAACTGTAAATTAGATTTTATTTATAAATATAATTAATAAGTAAAACTTGAATTTTCAATAGTAACGTGAGATAATTTATTGTAAATATTGTATTAATGGAAATATAAAAAGACATTAAAAATAATTAAAAATAAACAAAAAAGAATTCTATTATAATTTTTCTACCGATAAGATCGGCTAAAACTAAGATGTAACTAAGACGTATATTTAAACTAAGTCGTATAATTAACTTAATTACGATGAAATAGCACGTAATGCTGTTCACTTCCATTTTAAATTGCAACAAATTATCTCGGAAACGAACCTTCCAATGTTTTTGCAGGTCTATTCTTGGATCATTTTTAATCTTCTTGACTAGTACCTCTGCCATGAAAGGCATATCCTCGGACTCAGCACCAGTTTCAGCGACATTCAACTGGGACGCTTGGTGAGTCGTCAAAGAATCTCCCAATGCGTATCCTACCAAATTGGGGTTGAATTCCTAATCGTATTGAAAATTTCTGGATGACTAATTTGCATACATGTTGCTAGATCAATCTTTAGCCTTATGTCATACAGAAATGTCATGATACTACTGTTTTTTTTTAAGCAAATGTTTAATTTTTTTAATAATTTATAGAAAGTATGTTACAAAAACTATAATTTTAATCATAAATTTTCGAGGATAATGTAATATGCCATTTATAAATCGAAAGGAAAAAGAATTTTGAGTAAGAAATATATTTAACATGTTGATTATTAAATGTTGATTATTTCTTACTTCTTAATCCGTGATTAACATTATTAAAACATTATTAAAAATATAATTCTTTAAATATTCTTGTAAAAGATACATATTACCAAATATAAAATTTCATAGCTAGATAACAATGTAAAATAAAATAATGCATTATTTTCATACGTAATATTACATATAATTCTAGGAGAAATATAGTCCTGTATATATGTTTAATTATATTATAAAAATGTTATCATTATATCTTTATGACAGTAAAAAGTTCTTCTGTGACATACAGAAACATATAAAACTCGTTGAATAGACAATGTTAATTAAAATAAAGGAAGAAATTAGAGAGTAAAGAGGACATAATTTTAAATGTTGCTTAATGATGATCATAATAATGGTTTTATTAATTGATATTAACTGATATTCTGAATATATTATATTAACTTTCGTTCGGCGAATTGCTTAATGTTTGAATATATAAAAATCTGTTTTTCCTTTTATTATATAATTATTACATAACAGACACAAATACAATACAAATTTTGAAAAGGACATATTTGATAAAGATGTGGTGTAAATATCATATTTTACGATGAAAAATTATTTTTAAAATAGGCATATAACAACTTTAGAATGAGTTAGAAATGATCGAGAATTACGTTGACAATTTGCCGTTCAAAAGTTAAGAGGCAGTAAATTACATACTTAATATAATTTTTAAAATACGAGACGCGCACAAAGATCGAAAGTAATCAAATGGATGAGAATCCGTGAAAAAAACTAATTTAACATTGGTCGAGGATGTGATGTTATGTTAATGTTATGCTAAAATTCTATCACAACAATACGTTCATCAAGTTTCTTTAAATCATAAAAGGCCAAGCATGTTGGATTACGTATTGTGAAGAAAATGTTGACTACCTTGTCATTGTTTCCGACTATGAATTATAATATCTCAAATTGATTAAGCACGCGTCAAACATAATTTTTATGGAAAAATGTGCAAGAAATAAATTATAATTAACGAAATTTCAGCTCAGCTATTTTATACAGCTTTATATTCTACGCTACTCGTCATCGTTGAATTGGAGATGATTTAAAGTTTCGTAATCATATAAATTCTTAAAAAATAAGTGACTAGAATCTCATATATTTGTAAAATATCATATAAGTAAATTATATCAAAATCCGAACTTTTGTACATGTATACATATATA